CTGGCGGCAAAGTGGCTGTGCAGCGCCCGGGCCTTGGACTGCTTGGGGAAGTGGTGCTGGAAGACGAAGGGCTGGATGGGCAGGGTGGTGGGGCGCTGGTCCTTGCTGTAGCGCACCACCTTGCCCTCGGCTGCACCGCCTGCAGGGGGAGAGACGGAGAAGTGATGTTGGGGTGCGGGGGAGGGAAGGAGAGGGAGGGAGGGAGAAGGGGAGGAGAGCCGGCCCCGACACAAGGACACACACACACACACACCCCACGGGGTGGGCCCAGGAGCTGGAGAGAGAGAAAGGCAGCCTGGCCCTCGGCCACAGGAGGAGCCCTGGCCTCGTCGAGCTTTGCCGGCTGGGTTTATTTGCTTGCTTGTTTGTTGGTTTGTTTCATTTCTACCCCGCCTGTCTGGTCTTGCGACCACTCTAGGCGGTTTAGGCAGGCCAGCTGCGAGCAACCCCCCAGGGAGGTTCCAGGCCTTCCCACGGACTCCCCGTTGAACCCTGCCCTTGCCAGCCCCAAGCGTCTCTTCCTGCCCAGGAACCCTGCCCTGGCACAAAAAGTGCGTGGGGCCACGTCTGCCCCACGGGTATGGGGAAGAGCTTGGGGTGCCCAGGGGCAGGGGGGGTTGAGCATGGATCTGCTCTTCCCCCAGTGCCACACAGCCACTCAGGTGCCACGGTGCCCTCTCCACTGCCACGCTGTGATGGCTCAGAGCTGGGCACAGGAGGGCAGGGCAGGGCAGGGCAGGGGGAGGGAAAGGAGAGGCTCCTCTGGAGGGCGAGGCAGTGCCAGCGGAAGAGCATCGCCCACCGTGCCTGGCGCTAAAAACCCCAAGGGTGTCTGTCTCGGTGGCAACCGGTGGCCTTCCTTCAGCTGAAGAGGTGGGCTCAGCCCTCGCTACCTCCGCCCCCCTCCCACACAGAATACCTGGGCCCGGCTGCCTGGCTGGCCTTGCCCACACACTGCCCCAGAAAGACGTGGCTTCTCTCAGAGCTGCTCCTCCTGCCCTGCCTCAGTGCCCCTCTTGGCTCCTCCACAGAGTCCCACGCAGGTCCCCCCCTTTGTGGACAATCTGCTCCCTCTCCCCCTCAAAGCTTTGTCGGCTGGGCTCTCCCTCGCTCGCTCACAAGCCCTGCGGTGCAGGGGTTGAACTGCAGTACGGCAGTCAAGGATGCCACTCGGGTCCTGGGTTCGATCCCAACAGGCTCAGGTCGCCCGCTTGGGGTCGGCGGCTCAGCCTTCCCTCCTTCCGAGGTCGATCCATTTGGGGGAGGGGGAGAGAGCAAGGTGTTGTAGCCTCCTTAATTAAATAGTAAACCGCCCAAGGAGCGCTTTTAAGCGCCAGGGAGTGGTGCATAAGTCGAAACACCAGCAGCAGCTGGAATGCAAAGAGCTCCTACCTGGTAGAAGCCCTGCCTCCTCATGAGAAGGAGGGGCAGGGAGAAGATGGACAAGGAAGGAACCTCAGAGAAACCACTTGGGGAGGGGGGTGGAGAAGGGCTGTGGTGGAAGCACAGGGGCTGCCTCTGGCCCTCTCCGGGGCTCGGGAGGCAGGAACCCCCAGGCAGGGTCCTGGGTTCAGGAAGCCTTGGGCACACACATGCACACACGCACGCACGCATGTGCACAGACACACACACACACACAGGAGGGACTCCTGCTGACTGAGTTACTCTGGAGTTAAAACACTGACCTCGAGGCACACAGCAAAACCCCAAGAATTCAAGAACATCATCAACAACAACGAGGTGCTAAACAAAATCCACGCTTCCTCCCTCCCTCCTTCCCGCAGGAAAGCGCTCCACCCCAGGTGAGGAGGGTCAGGGAAGCACCGGTGGCTTGCCCCTTTTTCATCCCCCCCCCACAAGGCAACCAAAGCCCCCAGACCTCGTTTCGTCCTGCTCGCCAAGGGGAGCCCAGCTCAGTGAGGAGAGCCACCGGTGCCCGCCTGTGCCAGCCTAAGCCCACCTGATCCAGAAGGCGCCTTGGCCCCACCTCCCCGCCCCTGTGGGACCCCCGCCTTCAGGGAGGGCCCTGGCTGTCTGGGTCTTGGGCGATCCGGGCGGGGGCCCCTCTCCGGTTCTCCCGGACCGGCGGCCAGAGGGAAGCCTCCACCAGGGAGTTCAAGCTCTTACCATCAGCTCTGGCCCGAATGTCTTTGTGGCCAACGCCGGCCCCCGTCTCTGTTGCCACCGAGAAAAAGGGCTGCTCGGGCACCTCCCCGGAGGCCAGGCCGTCCTTCCGGGGGGCAGCCGTCCCACGTTCGGAGCCGGGGTTGTTCTCGCAGCTGCGGTTGAGGGAGTGGGCCAAGGGCATGGGCGGGAGGCTGTGGCAGTGCCGGGCCGCCCAGTCGTTCAGGAAGGCGGCGCTGTCCTTCTGGCACTCTGGGATGGGGGAGAACTCCAGGGACGAGTCCCTGCTGGCCCGGAGCGGCGGGGAGGAGCCGTTCTTCTTCCGGCCCTTGGCCAGCTCGGCGAAAGAGGTGACCCGCTTGGGCGGGGAGCTCTGGGCCGCCACGCCGGGGGTCTCGCTCAGCTTGACCGGGCAGCTCAACATGCGCTCCAGGGATCCCAGGCGGCCTGTGGGGCTGCGGTCCAGGTTGCGGTCGTAGCTGCGGGAGCGCTGCCTCCCCCCAGAGAGGCAGGGAGGGGAGACGTTGACGTAGAGCTGGCCCTCGAGGGCCTCTTTCTCGGCCTCCCCCTGGGACTCCGCCCGGGAGCCCTCCGTGTCGCTCTCCCCCGGCGGGGGCCCCGGCTGCTGGAACAGGTAGTATTCCGTCGGCTGGACCAGCGGGCTGCCTTTGGCGGGCTCCTCCGAGCAGCTGGTGATGGACGAGCCGGCCGGGCTCGGAGAAGACTGGGAAGACAGGTCGCAGGTGACCAGCTTGTAGTAGTTCTGGGTGGCCACCACGAGCCGCGCTTGGCTCTGGAAGCAGGCGGTGAGGTCGGAGCCCTCCGAGGCGCACGGGTCACAGAGTGGCGGGTAGGAGTTGCAGTTGGCATCCAAGACGGGGGAAGAGGGGTGGCGGCAGCCGCAGGCCTTCCCTGAGCCGTCCGGGTCGTGGGACTCGCAGGACATTTTGGAGTCCCTGGGCGAGGAGTGGAGGTCCAGGTAAAAGGCTCCCGTGTCCGAGTGGCTGCCGGAGGAGGAGTCGTCGTCGCAGGACAGGGGGCCCGAGTTCAGGTTGGGATGGGCGTGGCCGTTCATCTTGTTGTAAAGGGCACTGAAGTTCACCAGGACCCCATCGGAGCTGTTGCAGGAGGAGTCGCTGATGTAGCCCATCTGCTGGTCCGGCGGCTCGGACTGGCTCGAGAGGCTGTAGCACCGGCAACGCTGGAACTCTGAGCTGGAGCAGCTGCACGTCCGGCTGCAGCTCGCCTCCTGGTGGGGCATCAGTTCGTCTGAGTCGTTGGCCCATTCCTGGTCAAAGGAGAAGGTGGTGGCGTCCTCATGGTGGCAACTGTACTCATCCAGCTCCATGCTCTCTGGGGCGAGGCGGTTCCTTGTCTGAAGGTCGTCACTAGTCAGCTTGTCCTCTTGGCCCTCGGCCACGTCCAGACGGCTGGTGGCGCTCCACGGCTTCACCACCGGATTGGTGTCGTGCAGGCGGAACGGCGGCAGCGTCATCTCATGCAGGCGGAAGGCAGGCTTGCTGCTGTGCAGATGGAAGGATTTCTGCTCCAGTGGGTCATCTTCGTAGAGGTCCTGGGCCTCCTTTGCACTCAGCACGAAGGGATTCTGCCGCTTGTGGGTGCCGGAGAGGGCCGGGTCCTTGGGGGCGTTGTCCTCTTTGTCCTCCGGGGCCAGGGTCAGATCAGCCTCGGAGGCCAGCTGCTGTAGACAGCTGCTGTAGACCAAGGAGTCGGTCTGCAGGAGGTCCTGCTCCCGTTGGGAGCTGGTCCGCACCACCCCCAGGTCTGCCTGGCAAAAGGGGTTGGTCCTTTTGCTGGAGGGGCAGCACTGTCGGTCGGGGACCTGGCAATGCACCAGGGGAATGTGGTGGACGATCAGGGTCTCTCCAGTGAGCTTGGGAGGGCTATCCATCGTCAGCTGTTCTCTTCTGGGCCCCCGCAGTGGTGAAGCTACCCATGGAAGGGCCTTGGTGAGCAGCAGGGACCCCAAGCAGGCATCTCCTCCAGGTATTCAGGGTCCTGAAGAGAGATCAGAAAGAACAAACAAACAGGGTGTCATCACCCGGAGGAAAGGGGCGCCCACCGTCAGAAGGCACCGTTGCCTTACGGCTGCTACAGGGTCCTGGGGAAGACCCCCGTGCCCTTCTCCCAAAAAGCCCTGCTGGGCAGTTCTGTGCCACTAGCACTGCGCCCGGAATAAGAAGCTCATGCATTTCTTTTCTAGTCCCTGTTTCATAGGCATTTGCTCTCAAAGGCATCAGTAAATCACCAAAGACATTCCTGTGTAACAAACATGTTCCCTTTTGTTGCATCACTGTTTCCGCAGACAAAGCAAGCCACAAAGGCTTCTCTAGTGGTGGGGAGGTTTCTCCGTGATAATAGGGACAGGGAGGAGACCGGCTTGCTCCCTGCAGCCAAACTAAGTGGGAGGGAGGTCCCCGCTTCGGCATCTGCACCCCACCCTGCCCCTGTCCCCCACCCCCGTTTGAGCTTTTCAGTGACCTTCAGTGGTATCATTCCTAGCCTTCTGTTCAGTTACTGGGTGCTGAACTTTTTTATGTCTTTATAATTTGAATGTGTATTTCCTGAAGGTGATGGGGGCACTTGTGAAATTGTATCTTATTGTTTTGTATTTCTTTAATTGTTTTTTATAGTTTTTTGTGTGGTAGTAGGCCCCTTGGTTCTTGTGCCGCTCTGCAGCAACCCTCTGCAGCAACCCTTCTTTCCTGGATTCCGACTCAGGTCGTCTGCCCTCAAACGGTGCCCTTCGCCACCACCCCAACCAGGCAACATTGTCCACGGCCGGAACCGCACGCCGAGCTCAGGCCTGTTCAGAAGCGACATGGCCCCACATCGCCCCACCCCAGCCCTGCGGACAACCTGCACCGCCAGCTTTATACAAATGTTCTCAGAGGATGTGTGACACCCCAGAGTGCTGCGGCAACATCACCCCACGTGAGGCAGCCCCACGTTCCTTCCCCCTCCCCTCCCTTCACCACCCGGCAACCGTCAAAGAATTCTGTCCAATATCCGACAGTCTCAAAATCAACTTGAGCCTCCCAGGAAGACGAGCAGCGTCAGGTTTGCCCTGACAAAGTCCCATTTAGCTGGTCTGATCATCGAAGCGGATGTTAGTAGAAAGGCATGTCCAGAATTGGGAGTGGGGGAGAGAGAGAGATGGAGCGGTCGGGTTCATGCTCAAAAGGGCCTTATCCACTGTGCTTTTTCTCTCACTGGAACGATCCTTCCATTCACACTGATGGATGGTTCTTCTCCCATGAATCACTCCAGTTTGATCTCCTTTTGGTTATTAGTTATATTTTATTTATTTTAATTATTTTACCCTGCCTCTCTCCTTAAAATGACCCAAGGGGGAGGGATTAATGACCATCTCCTTCCCACTTCCTTTCCCACCTATTTCCCTGGCCGTCATTCAGCTGACTTTTCCCTCCCCCTTTTCCTCTTTTTTCTTAATTAAATGAAGTAAATGACGTAGCAAAGCAGCAAGGCGTCTGCCTAGAATGGTAAACATAATGCCACCAACGTATCTCATTTACAGTACCTAAGTTTGGTTTTGAAGTTTGAGGGTTTTTTTAATACAAGTTGATGTACTTGTTTGTTTTTATGTTATTGTTAAGGTTGTAAACTACCCAGGGTGACCATTGGTCAGATGGCTGGTATAAAAATCAGTCAGTCAGTCAAACAAACAGAATTTTAAAAACTCAATCTACAATAGCACTGCATCAATAGGGAAATACAGTTTTTAAAAATTAAAGCAGGAGAGGAAAATGGAGGAGGGAGGGGTTCTCCACAGCCGCTTTCCATGCCACAACCTACCAAGTTCCTCACAGGGTCGTCACCTCAGAGAAAACTGCCCACAACTCCATTTTGGTGCAAATCAAGCATGCACACGGGCTACAGAATGGGCTAATTAGAAATGCTTTGAATTGCACCAAAATGACTGTAGCCCAAGCGGTGTGCCAAAAAGGAGCGGGGCCGCTTTTAAAAGGGGCGGGGTGGATCGCTCAAAGTCAAAGCCCGTGTGGATGCTGCCGTTTGATCGGACCGCAAGCGATTCGACTAGCGATGTGCTTTTTGTCCCAGAACCAAGGACTGGAGCTTTCTGGAGCTGAGAGAAGAACAGATGAGAAGGAAAGCATTCTGTGAGGCCAGAGTCATCGTCCGCCCCGCCCCCAAAGCAGCCCTCACCTGGAAGCGGCCACCTGCTTCCATGCAGCTCTGTCCTCAACAACCAGGTCTTTCACAATTTCCTTCTAACTTCCCTGAACTATTTGTTTCCCTCCACATCAAAAGGAATAGACTGAACATCAAGGGGGGGGGGAGGAGCATTCATCATCATACGGGAAGGATGCACAGGGGTGGGGTGGGCCTGGAAAGGCTCAAGCAGGGAAGAAAGCAGAACCAAATGCTGATGGAAAATTTGACCAGAAGCAAAGTCAGAAGCAAAAGAGGATGACGGATAGAATTCGGTGGAGCCAACCACGTCCTTTCCTGCCAATACAGGCTTCGAGCAAGGCAACAGCTGGCTGTAATGTGGACACCAACGTGGTGGTGGTGGTAATATAGGAATCAGATAGATAGACGACGTTATTGGAAGCAGGAGAGGCAGAAGCTGCTTTCCTTCTGCCAGAAGAAGACCAGAAGCACACTGTGGCATTGACCATGAACGAGTGAGTGGTCAGGATCAAAAACTAGAGCGAAGCTGGAAAAGAAATCATATCAGGCAAAAAAAAAGAGAAAAACAATTTAGAAAACACACACATTGTGGCATCTTAAAGACTAACTACTATATTTGAATGTGAGCTTTTGTGTTCATGAAAGCTCACGTTAAAATATACCAGTGATTTCTTGAGATGCCATGACGTTTTTGCCTTTTTTAAAAAAATTGTTTTTCTTTTGTTTTTGCCTGATACGCTAGCAAATACTAACACGGCTACCTCTTCTAAAAGAATCATAGTGTCAAAATATTATTTAAATAACATTTCTGATTAATCTGAACTCTATAAAAAACAGTTTTGCATTGTTAAACTCAATTGAACAGAACCAGAAGAAACGTAGTTTGAAACAAAAGATATTAGGGAGGAATGCAAAAAAGACATTTCCTGCAATCCAAAGAAAATAAAAGCCGAAGTGGATGACTCGGTCAACCCGGAAGGGGGTCATCTCCCCAATTCCACAGGTCAGCCAGGGTTTCAACATGATCACCAGCTCTAGCGCTTGGAAATTCCCCCAGAACATTCAGGAATTCCATCTGGACCCATATTCCCATTCCGAGGATGGACAATCTCAACTGATCTTCTGCTCCTGAAGAGATCCAGAGCCCTTACAAATCTTCACATGCTAGTGAGAGATCCCTCCATGACCCCTTTCAGACTCTCCTCAGACCATTTCCATCATGTTGAGAGAGAAAATGGAAACTCTCTGACCGTTGCTGTCTCTTATTTGCCCCATCGCGGCTTGAACAGAAATGTGCACGGCACATTCTTTCCATTCTTATGGATGCCGACCTGTTTCGTTACGTCTTGGTCCAATCCTAAAGCGGGTTAATGGTGCATGGCAGAAACGTGCAAAGACTTCCTGAGGATTGGCCTTCTGGGAAGGGGAGCAGGGAGGTCTCCTCAGGCAGGGCAGGGCTCCAGTCTCTAACCCCACCTGCCTTCCCTCCATTCGAAAGACCAACAGAGGGACCCCCTTCAGCCAATCCAGTACTTGAGAACTTTCCAGCTGGCACTGGGAGACGGGGCGGAAATAACCTTCTGGTTGGAGAGAAACCCCAACCCAGGAGCTGCCCTCGTGGTGCTTGCAGGGGTGTATTCTCTGCTCTTGCCTGATGAAGATATGTCCCCCGGCTCTGAATGGGAATTCAGGGCTCTCTCTTGCCACACTCTGTAGGCCAGGGAGAGACACCTCTGGGTGCCTGTTCTGTGTCTTGAGTCAAACCCTCCTGGCACATCTGTCCACTTGGACTTCTGTACCGTCACGATCTGTGGCCCTGCTCTAAGGGCTCCTCCCTCATTCCAACGTTCCTGCTCACCCTGTCACGGACCAACGTGAATCTCAGTGGGTCTCACTCAGGAAGAATGACGACTGCTCACAAACTGAATCATTGCCACGCCTGTCTAAACACGCTGCTCCCGCTGGAATCAGACCTCGGTGCAGCCACACACACACACCCCTCCCCACCCCCAACCACCCTTCTCAGCCAAACCGCTTGGAGACGGGCATGCCCTGCTCCCAAGGAGAGGAATTCTGGCTGAGAGCGAGGTGCCAGACAAAAGGAGCTTCCGAGATGGAAAGCCCGAGGGGGAGGGTCTGCTGCTCCCTCTCCGTAAAGGGCCCTGACAGCACCTTTTGCACTCAAGCGCTCTGATAGGCTCTCCTGTCAGGACTGGGGAGGGCAGGGATGCGGGCAAGGCCCTCATCAGCCCAGCCTATGACTCACCCGCTGGATGAGATGATGAGACCAGAAAAGGGGATGAGGAAAGCAGAGCCGCCCTGCCTCCACTTGCAGCAAGAAATCTGGCAAAAGTGGCTGCCGGAGAAGCCAAGGGAAAAGCCCTGAGATGGGCAAGGGCGGGTGGGGTTCATCCTTGCCCTCCTACCTGTCCGTCCGTCTGTCCATCCCCCCATTTCACCCGGTCTGCCTGTCCCATCCTCTTGTTTTACTGCTCCACACCTGCCATACCTGTGCACTTCTATTTATAGTTTTTGTAATAGTTTTTTTTAAACTCTCTCATCAATAAGATAATTCCTAGTAGCCCCAAAATAATACAGCAATGATATTTATCAAATAAAACCATATACAACTATAGGAGATGAAACAGTGAAAGCTTCCTGCTTTTGTCCTCCAACTGATTTGGCCGTCAACTCCCAGAAGCCCCGTCTAGTCTGGAAAAGAGCCCAGGGTTCAAGGAACTAAGATCCCAAAGTGGCGTTTTCCCCCAAGAGAGCCGATGGAACTTTTCTGCAAAGGGGGGGGCGGGGGCATCTTTACCCTG